CAGGCCAATTCATAACCACTATGTTACCAGCAATACCTTTACTTGGTATATATCCACAAGAAATGAGAGCCATGACACAAATAGATGTATACACACCCATGTTCAGTACAGCACTATTCACAGGAACTAAAAGATGGAGGCAGCCTGAATGCCCATCAACAGAAGATTGATTAAACAAACTAAGGTACTATTCCACACACAGTGGAATATTATGCAATATTGAAGGATAATGACAAATCTGCGAAACACTTCATAACATGGATGAACCTTGAGGATATTTTGCTGAGTGAAATTAGTCAATCACAAAAGGACAAGTATTGTATGAAGAAATCACTGTTATAAAAAGTTAAGAAAAGATTTTCATACTAAAAGAAACATTCTATGATGGTTATCAGAGGTGGGAAGGTAGGGAGAGTTTCACTAGGTTGATGGTAGACACATGTTAACTTAGGTGGTGAGGAAGGCAACATAAAACAAGAGTGAGGTTGGCACAGGGAAGAATGAAGGTAGGGGAAGAATGTAAGAGTTAAGTGAATAGAGGTAGTAAGGACTGTTAACTGATGGTACATGGAAGGGATTGCAATCATTGTAATGATACCAAGTGTATTAACAATAAAAAAATGTTCAAGTAGCAGAATAAGAGATCTATATTAAAGAACCTTAAGAATCCCCCTTGGCCCCTTATTTCTCAAGTTCTTTTGCTTTCATATTTATAATTATCTGTTGTTTCTTCCATTTCTGTCTCCATGGGTCTTTCTTTAATTATGTCCTATTGTTTTAGCTGTGACTGTATGTCTCCCAGCTTCCAAATTCATTTCTCTACAATGGAATCATTTTTCTTTTTCTAAAAATGACATTTCCCAGTTAAAAGATTTACTGTCACCTTCTCCCTCATCACTGGTATAGGTAATTGTATGTTTACATGACATTTAAGACCCTTCACAACCCAGCAGCATCTCCACCATTCCTTGTGTGTGTGCGTGACATTCCCAGAATATAACATGCTTTCCTATTTTTGCTTAGCTTTTTCATCACCTCCCAGTCTCACCCATCACTACCAGTCTTTTCTAGTCAATGAATGTATAGTCATTTGTGATGAATGCCTTCCAGACTCTGAACTTGTTTAAGGCAAGGACTTACTTGCATTCATCTTTATACCCATAAAGCCTGCAACAATTTTTGCATATATTTGAAATTAACTGAATACTGTAGTTTTTTGTAAATAACACACCCATGTATATTTGCCAACAGTTTCCTCCTCTCCATCCCTCCTCTGCCCCCAGGTATTTTTATAAACATGCTATGGTAGTATTTTTTTACAACAACATGCAAAAAACATTGGCATAGTAAGTAGGTGCTTTCTAATAGAGCTGGGGGTAGAGAGTTGGCAAACAAATGGAGAAGATGCATGGTATTTGCAAAAGATACAGTGTAGAGTTCTTTACTTCTTATAGTAGCAATTGCAATGGTATGATTGTTGCATGATTTTTTATATTGAGTTAAATCTCACTTCGTTGTAATGGCCAGCCATAGTTTTGCTCCATTAAGCAGTGTAGCCACCAGTTATTATGATACATAGAGAAAAGATTGAAGTTGTCAAAGACTTCATTTTGCTTGGATCCACTATCAATATTCAGGGAAACAGCAGTCAAGAAATCAGGTGATGTATTGCATCAGGCAGAACTTTACACAAGACCTCTGTAAAGTGCTCAAGAGCAAAGATGTCAGTTTGAGGACTAAGGTGTGTCTGACCCAAGCCATAGTATTGTCAACAGCTTCATATGCATGTGAAAGTTGGACAATGAGTAAGGAAGACTGTAGAAGAATTGCTGCAACCGACAAAATGTCAATACCTTCTAACTCTTCGAATCATTGGAGTACATTTTTTATTTGCTTTTTTTTTTTACATATATATGTATTAAAATGTCTGTACATTTATATAGAATATTTTCTACTGCCTCCCCCCAAAAAAAGATTAGATAATAAAGAGCAATACTAAAGAAAACTTAAATTTTAAAAATGAGATTTCAGCATACTTCAGAAACAACTTAACAAAGCAATCGTCCAAATAGATCCCCACTATTAGTCAGGGATTGGTGTGGCGCTGTGGGTTAATGCGCCAGACTGCAAAGCCATTTGAACTGCAAGATCGGTGGTTCAGGCTCACCAGCTGCTCCTCGGAAACCCTGTACAGGGTTGCAATGGGTCAGAATCAACTCGATGGCACTTAACAACAACAACAACACTTGTATTTTGGTGTGCAAAGTCTTGTTACATTTTTTATGATTTGACACTTTTCCATACCATAGAATGAAAAGTACTTTCTTTCCTAAAGCAAATAATTTCCAGGTAGTTCCTTGTGAGGGAAAGAATTTCATATCCCTATAAAGTATAAAAATGTTGTCAGTAAAAGCCACAATGGTGAGTTCACGTAAAGGCCCATTCACTTCTCTGTGCTGACTTAAAAGTGGCTGTCCCTCATGTTTATCTGCTGTGTGTTCAGTGCTAGCAATTTGGGTAGCGGACTTTCCAAGGCCATCCCAACTGGTTTGAAACTTCATAAAGAAGAGAGTTATTTTTGATATCTAATATGAATCAGGCTGCTAATCTCATGGTCAGCAGTTCGAAACTACCAACGGCTCTGAGGGAAAATGATGAGGCTTTCTGCTCCCGTAAAGATTTACAGCCTCAGAAACCCTGTACAGGATCGCTATGAGTCGGAACCAACTCCACAGCACATAACAGCAACAACAATACAACAACAACAATGCCTCTCTAACAGAAATCCCACAAGTGAATGGCTTCAACAAAGAAAATGGATTCTCTCACAGTTTAGGGGGCTAGAAGTTCAAAATCAGAGTGTCAGCTCTTAGGAGGGAAGGCTTTCTCTCTGTCGACTCTGGGGAAAGTTTCTTATCTCTAGAGCATCTGAAGCCCTAGTATTTCTTGGAGCTCTCCATACACCTTGGCATCAATCTTCCCCAGAATCTAGGAGCATCACAGTGCAGGGACCCAAAGTCAAAAGGACACACTCCACTCCTGGCTTTTCTATCTTAGTGGTAGTACGTCACTCTCCCGCTGCTCCAATCAAGGTAGTGGTGTTAGGTGCCACCAAGTCAGTTCCAACTTTGTGTAGTGACCCTGTGTAAGGTTTCCAGAGAGCAGCGGTGGGTTTGAACCACCAACCTTGTGGTAGCAGTCCTAAGTGCTTATCCAACAGCACCAAAGCAGGACTCCAAGGGTGGTGTGCCGTGGCGTCGGTTCCAATTCATAGCAACCCCTAGGGTTTCCAAGGCTGTCAGTCTTCATGGAAGCATAAAGCCTCATCTTTTTCCTGCACAGTGGCTTCTAGCTTCAAACCTTTAATCCTCTTATTCTCTCATCAAATCACATCTTGTGGGATAGCTACATCTCAGTTGCCAAGCCACTGAGAATTCTGACCCACTCAAGTTGACACAAAACCTGAATTTATCACAAAAGTGTTGTCACCGAGACAGCCAGTGATCCCAGAAAGCCTGTGGTGACTCCACTCATTGCTGTTCCTCGACAGGAACGCTGCCTGTGTCCCGTCAGAGAGCCCAGTGGCTTCTGCCCCAAGTATTTAAGAGCTACTTTTTTTTATTGTTTAATTTTTTTACATATGATTCAGAAATCAAGAAGTTAATCAGCATACAATGAAAAGATATCTTCTTACTCATGTTCCCCCATCAACCCAGTTCCATTCCTCACTATTAGCTTTCTGTCAATACTTCCAGCACTTGTTTATGCATGTACAACCAATACAAATACATATTATTTACTACTTTTTCTTTTTATACACACTTTACCTTTCCTTCCCCCCACCAAAACAAAAAAGCATAGCTCATAGAGACTTCTCTTAGAAGTTGTACTGCGTCAGAGTATTCCATTGCACAGATGCACCTTAATTGATTAATCAGACACCTGGTAGACATTTAGGTTTGGTCAATTTCCGTTCCTGTCTTTTACAGTTTGCTGACATTCTCCATTCTGTGATCTGTTATATGGTCATCCTTCCTTTCCTTTTCACTGAATGACCTGATCTTTGGCAAGCCTGTTGATAAGGGAGGAGATGGTGTCGTGGTACTTTTAGAGGGCAGCTCACAAGCTTTTAAGACCCCAGGCACCACAACTCACTGAACTAGAACCTAGAGCATAAACTTTATGAGCTATATTATGCCGATTGAATTTTCCCATGAGATTATGACCCTCAGTCTTGAAACCAAGAAAAGTAATCCTGTGAGGTGATTGGTTTTATCTAAGAAGTACCAGTATCTGTAGCCCCTGTTTGGTTTACTTTTTATATGTTTTGGGGCTGGGGGAGTTTTTTTGGTTGTTATCATTATTGCATGTATAACATAGAATTTACAAATACATCTTTTTTCTTGTATTCGTTTTAGTGGCATTAGCTATACTTGTCAAGCTGTGCATATTTCACCTCTCTTTCCCATCATCATAAACAAGAAGTGACTATTGTCTAGACAGTGATTTTCCCTCTTCACCACCCTCCCCACAACCCCTGGCAACTACCAATGAACATTGGTCTCCAGTCTTGTCATTGCCTAAAAGTGAGATCATACAATATGTGTCATTTTGTGATTGATACATAACTATTTTGTTTAGCATTATATCCACCAAGTTCCTTCATATTGCAAGATATTTCGGGAATTCATTTTTCTTCATGGCTGAGTAGTATGCCATTGTATATACGTGGATTCTTATAGTGAAAAGAGTCTATAATTTAACCCTAAAATATTAAGAACAACTGTGCTATTAAAATCATCATTTAATAGACTTTGGCCTATATGAACTTATGACTGTTGAACTTCATTTACCCATTAAGGTTTTTTCACTGGAGGAAAAGGAAATTAAATGTGTAATGCAACTTTCAAGCTGATAAACACTGGAATTTAATTTTATGTTTACCTAATAATACTGTAATCATACTTCAGTTTTAGTTATGAATGCATTTTTGTCTTTAGTACCTGGACCCTCTGGTGATAATGGCATCAGTATTACCATGATCTTGATGGCCTGGATGGTTATTGCAGTGGTCTTATTCCTACTGAGACCTCCTAATCTAAGAGGATCCAATTTATCAGGAAAGCCAACCAGTCCTCATAATGTAAGTGTTATGGATTGTAAATCCTTTTTGGGAGTGGGGAGGATGGTAAGGATTATGAATGAGGGAGAGTTGGTTTTGACTGAAATATCTAAATTAGCAAAAGGAAAGGTATAAATCAGGGAGTGTAAGGTTTACCTATTTAATCCTAGTAAGTCCTGGAACCCCCAGTGACTTAGTCTCCATGGAGTTATTTAAAGAAACACAAACTTGTGGCCCAAAAATAATTTTTAAAAATTCAATCTTTAGTCACATGAGAAATGTCAAAAATTCATAGCCCATAGCATTTCCCAAATTCTAGTCATCTGTTCCCCAGTCTTTTTTGCCTCACAGTTAGGTGCTCCCTTGCCTCTCATTTTTCAGGTCCCCTAAACACACTAGCTACAGCTCAATGGTTTTCCCTTCTCTCATTCCATTTGACTTAGCTATTAAATACAACAAAGCCACGGAACCTCCTGGCTAAATCTTGTTTTTTCCTCATCGTATTCCTCTCAAGCTCATTCTTCTAGTTTTCCATCACAGTAAATCAACTGAGCTGGCAAAAAGAGAGGTGGGAATCATTAATGTTGACAAATCTTGGTAGTCATGATTATAACCATTTGTTGTTGTTGTTGTTATTGTGTGCTCTCGAGTCAGTTTGAGACACAGCAACCCTGTACAGGGTTTCCAAGGAGCGACTGGTGAATTTGAATTGCTGACCCTGTGGCTAGCAGTCCCGTGCTTGTCATACAGCACCATACCAGGACTCCATTTTTAGAAACTTCTAAGTGAAAAATATGACGAAGCAACGCAGGGAGTTTTCAGTATTATTTTTAATGGAACTTCCATTAAACTTCCATTTGGAACTCCAAATAAAAAAATTGAACTCATTTCAAAATCAGTGCTTAAATTTTTTTCTTTTCCATTTGATTTTGATTTGTCTTTTTAAACTATGAGTGCTTATTCTGTAAGCAGGCAAATGGGCACTGTTACTTGGTCGATGCTGTGGTCTTTTTCAAAAAAAGAACATCTAGACCTTAATGATGGATGGAGCAAAGTTTTTGGGGACTTTCATTTGCTGATGGGGCATGACTCAAAATAAGAAGAAATAGCTGTAAATATCCATTAATAATCAAATGTGCAATGTATGAAGTCTGAATCTAATAGAATTGGAAGTCATAAGTGAATAAAGATTAATATCCTCGGCATTTGTGAGCTTAAATAACATTTCAAGACCTATCTTGAAGTACAGTGCTGTCTGTGACATGATACATACACCTACAAGGAAGACCAGTTAATACAACCATTATTCACATCTACGTACCAACTGCCAAAGCCAATGATAAAGAAAATAAATTCTGCCAACTTCTTTAGTCTGAAATAGATCAAACATACAATCAAGATTCCTTGATAATTACTGGTGATTAGGATGTGAAAGTTGGAAACAAATAGGAAAGTCTAATAGTTCAAAAATAAACATTGCCTTGGTGATGGAAGTGACACTAGAGATCTCAAGGTAGAAGTTTGCAAAACCAATGACTTATTCTTTTCAACAAAATAAGTCGCAGTTATATACCTGGACCTCCCCAGATGAAATATCCAAGAATCAAACTGACTATATCTGTGGGAAGAGACTATGAAGTAGCTCAATAGCATCATCAGCTAAAACAATGCCAGGGGCTGACAGTGGAACAGACCATCTGGGAGCTCATAGGCCAAAGTGGAAGAAAACAAAAGAACCATACTACTACCTTGAATATATCCCACCTGAATTAAGAGACCATCTCAAGATCAGATTTGATTCATTGAACACTAATGAATGAAGACCAGAGGAGTTGTGGGATGACATTAAGAACATTATATATAAAGAAAGCCAAAAGGTCATTAAAAAGACAGGAGAAAAGGAAAATATTAAAGAGATGTTGAAACTCTGAAACTTACTCTTGAATATAGAGAGTACCTAACATGACTAGAAGAAATGATGAAGTACAAGAGTTGAAAAGAACATTTCAAAGTATTATAATGAAATGTGCAAAGACCTGGAGTTAGAAAACCAAAAACACTCAGCATTTCTCAAGTTGAAAAAACTGAAAAAAAAACAATTGAAGTCTCAGGTTGCAGTATTGAAGGATTCTATAGGCAAAGTGTTGAATAATGCAGAAAGCATCAAAAAAAGATGAAATACACAAAGTCACTGTACCAAATAGCTGTTCAGTCATTTCAGGAGGTAGCATATGATCAAGAAGGAAGAAGTCGTCCAGGCTGCAGTGAAGGTATTAGCAAAACAAACAAACAAAAAAACACAAACAAGTCTCTAGTAATTATCAGAATATAAATTGAAATGTTTCAACAAAACTGATCTAATGCTTGATGCACTCACTAGTCTATGTTAAGAAATTTAGAAGACAGCTACCTACCAATAGATCCATATTTGTGGATTTATTTTCAGACCCAACAGAATGCAGACAGTATCAAACAATATCATTAATGTTAAGTGCTCTCCAGTTAGTTCTGACCCATAACAACCCTGTATAGGATTTCTGAAGAGCGGCTGGTAAACTTGAACCGCTGGCCTTGTGGTTCATACTGACTACAGTTGAACACATTAACCCACAGCACCACAGTTCAATAACAGTTGGCAGCAGCACATTGACAGGGAGCTTCCAGAAACTCAAGCTGGATTTAAAAGAGGACATGAAACAAGGGATGTCATTGCTGACATCAACCAGATGGATCCTTGATTGAAAGCAGACAATACCAGAAAAATGTTGACTTGTGTTTTATTGACTATACAAAGACATTCGACTGTGTAGATCATAACAAACTATGGGTAACACTGCAAAGAATGGGAATTCTAGAACACCTCATGTGCTCATGTGAAACCTGTACCTAGATCAAGAGACAGTTACTCAAACGGAACAATGGGACAGAAAGGTGTGTGTCAGAATTGTATTCTTAACACCACATTATTCACTCTATAGGTTGAGCAAATAATCTGAGAAGCTGGGCTAAATGAAGAATGCAGCATCAGGATTAGAGGAAGAATGGCTCTTTAACATTAACAGCTTGTGATGTACAGATAACACGGCTTTGCCTGCTGAAAGTGAAGAGGACTTGAAGCACTTGCTGATGAAAATCAAAGAATACAGCCTTTAGTATGGATTACAACTCAATATAAAGAAAACAAAAATCCTTACAACTCTATCAAGAAACAACATCATAATAAATGGAATAAAGGTTCTCAAGTTGTCAAGGATTTCATTTTACTTGGATCCACAATCAATGCTCATAGAAACAGCAGTCAAGAAATCACATACATTGAATTGGGTACATCTGTTGCAGAAGACCTTTTTAAAGTGTTAAAAGAGTGAAGATATCACTTTGAGAGTTAGGTGCTCATGACCCATGCCATAGTACCTTCAATAGCTTCATAAGCATGTGAAAGCTGGACAGTGAATAAGAAAGACCATAGAAGCATTGATACACTTGAATTACAGTGTTGGGGAAGAATATTGAAAAGTAACATGACCTGCCAGAAGAACAAACAAATCTGTCTTGGAAAAAGTACAGCCAGAATGCTCCCTAGAAGTGATGCTGGCAAGACTTGTCTTATAATTTGAACATGTTACTAGGAGGGATCAGCCCCTGGTAAAGGACTGTCCTTTAGTAAAGTTTTCATTGTTGTTAAGTGCCATCGAGTTGGTTCCGATCCATAGTGACCTTGTATAGGGTTTCTGAGGAGTGGCTGGTGAGCTTGACCTGCCAACCTTGTGCTTCAAACTGACTTTGCAGTCCAGTGCATTAAACCATGGTACCACACCAGGACTCCTTGGTAAAGTTAGAGGGTCAGTAAAAAAGAAAAGCCTTAACGAGGTGGCTTGAGATAGTGGCTGCAACAGTGGGCTCAAACATAACAACAGTTGTGCTGTAAGGCCAGGACCAGGGCAGCTTTTCTTTTTGTTGTACTTAGGGTTGCTTTGAGCTGGAGACTACTTGACTTGGCAACTAACTACAAAAGAACGTCTAGATAAGTAGTATGCTAATTTTAATTGATTGTAAGTTTGGTTTGAAGTGCAAGATCGGAACCTACTCAATGACACAAAACAACGACAACAAGCAAAATGTGCAGACTGTGTTTGGCTGATAACCTAAAAGGTTGTTCGAGGTTTGAGTCCATTCAGAAGTACCAAAGAAGAAATGTCTACTTCTGAAAACCAGTCATTGAAAACCCTGTAGATCACAGTTCTTCTCTGACACACATGGGGTCGTGAACCAGAATCCACTCACCAACTGCCTATGTACAGCGTATTGCTTTCACATCAAAGAGCAACTGCCTAAATGTTTGGAGCTACAGAAATCCAACTTAATAAACTGACTTAAAGACCATTAGAGCTGACTGCAAGCCAGTAGTCCTCTGTCCCTTTTGTTGTTGTTAGTTGCCATTGAGTCAGTACCGACTTACAGCGACTTATTTCATTCACAACAGAACGAAACACTGCCCAGGCCTGTGCCAACCTCACAATTACTGTTCCATTGGAGTCCATTGCTACTGCTATTGCTATTCCAATCCATCTCATAGTCATTTGTAAACCAATTATTCTGGGAATAGTCTCACTGCCCTAGGAATAGACAAAATGTATCGACTCTAATTTCAAACAGAAAATTTGGGAATTTATATGTTAGGAAAAATAAATTAAACCTTCCTGAAGATGTCTAAAAACTCTTATCTATCCTTCACAGTTAAAATGCTATCTTTTGCAAGTAACCAAAACCAGTTCAGATTGATTTAAACACTGATCGGCTTTATTGATTTATACAATCGTGAGAGTGTTTGGGATGATTGATTCAGCAAGCTAAGCAGTATAATCAGAGACACAGTTTCTTTGCTCATACTATCAACTTCCTTCCAAGGTTGGCTCCCATTTTCATCACAGTATGGCTTTAGTAGCAACTGGAGCGACATGCTTTCTCACTGGCATTGCTAGAGAAACATACATAGGTTCCTAGCTTTACTTTAGTTGGACTACTCAGCGATTCATTTTAAAATTCTTTTTATGTAGCTTTTTTATTAAGAATTGAGTGAAAGTTTATGGAACAGATCATCTCAGTGATTCACTTGAGCAAGAAGGATGAGACTACTTTTAATGGTTTAAAGGCCACCCCTAGAACTGTTAAATAGTTTTTCTTTATTCCATACCACAGGGAGTAATGGGCCGAAAGTTGGAGAATCACAGTGTTAATACATTGTTCCTTTGTGTGAAAATATAGAAAAAGTCCAAATAAGTACCTGCTTGAGATGGGAAGATGAAGGGTGTTGCTTTTTAGTTCTCACCTGTGTGTTAGATTGGCTGCACTGGGAATGAAGAAGTCAACTCCATCATTTATCTCTTTTCTACTACCAGGGACAAGATCCACCAGCCCCTCCTGTGGACTAACTTTGTGATATGGGAAGTGAAAATAAACATCTTGCACGACCAAATGAACGAAAATAACCAGAGTACTCTTAGCCCCATTTGAACGGTTTTTCCTTTTGCATCTGCAATATGGGATTATATTGTTTTCATGAGCTTCTAGAAATTTCACTTGCGAGCTTATTTTTGCTTCCTGTGTTACCACCGTTTCTATTTACAGTATATTGAGTAAATGAATATTAAAAAAAAAGTTATATAGGGCTTTTTGTTGGTTGTCCTAAACCTAAACATTCCACTCATTTAACTGTGATCATACTTTTGGGAATAATTTCTGACCTGATTGAAGGAAATTTCAGATTTAAATATTTTAAATAGTTTTTATAGACTTTAAAATTGTTTGGGTTTTTTGGTTTTTTTCCATAAGATATTTATAGTTACTTGGGGTTGTCTGAGAGACTATAAAAGAAAATTAGAACCATACAGTACTTACATTCACTGTGGTAGTTTATTTGTGCATGGCTGTTTTCTCTTCTTGGAACTGTAGCAGCCTTTTGAATATTTTACAAATTTTAGCTGAAATCTGTATCATCTACTACAACTAACATATGCGGCTAGAATCAGAGAAGGGAAGAAATGAACTGATTGCTTACTAAGTTTTTTACTCCCATTTAAAAGTTTTTTTCTAATGTTAAAAACTTTTAAGTAATCACGATTGATCAATATGGTGAATGTTTAACAGTCCATTATATGACACCTGCAATCCACTGTACACTAGCCTTACAAAGATTTCTGAAAGAAGGAAAAGAATGAACTCTTTCTGCCTTTGCTAGGTATCATCTGTACAGTAATAATTTAAGCTATAATTTATTGCTAAAACGAGTACCTCTCAGGAAGCTTCTTTTCTGTTCTAATACTTCCTTGGTAGAAGGAGACACTCTTAAAGCCTGTTTGGTTACTAACATTTGAATGCCTTTTACTTCTTTTTTTATTTGAAGAAAAAAGTAACTGAGTCCTTTATTCCTGTCCTGACTTTTAACAAATTTTAATGGATTCTTGGCTTACTCCAGGGAAAAGGAAGATGATTAGAATCAAGGGTCTTTTTCTCATGCCTGTCTCATTCCTATGTTGGTAATGGGATGGATTGGGACATGAAAGATCATTAAAGAAGTAAAGTTTTGAAATGTGCAAAAAAGTCAAAGTTTGCACTTTTGCTCAGTTTAAAAAAAAAATGAATACCAATGGAATATACATATATATAAAATGTCTGCATAACCTTGACTTATGTGGTTATGGAATTTTTTCCTAGAAAGTGATTGCAGATTACTTATGTGGGCTAAAAGGTATTTTGCTACCAATGTAATCATTTCCCCCCCCCAGATCAGTCTAACTTTTCATTGTATAGATAGGAGAAATTTTCTTGTCTGAATTAAATAAACTTCTCGATAGCAGTGTTACTATTGATGAGAGTCTCTGACCTACTCATGAGTGGTTTTTTTTCTTCACTATGATCACATTCTCGGTCATAAGGGCATCGTTTCATGACATAATACAATATTGACTGCTTCATTACTTCTTGTGTACCTTGGCTTTGTGCTCAACTTCTTGAAATAATGCAATCAACTCTTAGTCACTGTGCTAATAGCATAGCACAGGTAAGTCAGATCCTAGATCGGTAGGCATCACAAAGGGAAGGTGTTTCCTCTTGGTATAGCCTACTGGATGCCTTCCCAGCTCTACAGCTGGCAACATAGTTAAGGCTGACAGGACAGGAACAGCATAAAATATGGAGCTAAATCCCAATAGATTCCATTTTTCTGCCTTTGCCCCCTGACCTTTGAAGGTATGTCCTAACAATCAGTCCTCTAAGCTGCTAAAAGCCAGTTCCCAACAGAGATACCACAACAGGATCCAGAGATACTGATGTATACACTAAGTCTACAGTTCACAAATAATTGACAAATGGTTTTGGTTTAAGAAATGCCCATAACATGGAAGCAGAATGTCTAGTGTTAGCTAGAGACCTGAAAGTCTGGATTCCTTTTCCTAGTCCTTCATTTCTGTCATATACACTTAATTGACATTATGTATCTAGGAGTTCATGTAGGGACCTACTTGTTTAGTAACAAAATTTCTTAGTGAAGTATTTAGTCTTTTTTTTTTTTCCCTTGCTGGTAAAATATCTTTGCATTTCTGAAAAAGTGTACTGCACATAAAGTATCCTTGTTAACCTAACTAGTAATATATATTATTCTATTTAATTCTTCAAATTTATACATGTGGCCTTTTTATTGAGCTCACTATTAAATCTTGAGTTGGCCTATAAACATTCACCAGAATCATGGCTAGAGTACTTTAAAAATAATCTGGAAAAAAGAAAACCAAAACTTCACATGTTAATTACCTTTGACTCTTAAACATTCCACAAATGGCATTAAGAGTTTACTTTGTTTTAGAATCATTTAATATTCTTGTATGCACAGTAATATTTTTCCTTTCCGTATGAAAAAGTTAACATTGGACTTACTTTAAGTGAAAGTATTATTATATAGCTAACCAACCACTCTCCCCATGGTCAGCAAGCTCTATTTTATAACTTGCAGTAATTTTCTGAAGTAGTAACTATTGAGTTACAGTTGTTCCATAGTTACTTTTAGTGTCTTTGTGATATATGATGTCATAGTGTTGATGGAATTATAGATATCTTATATTTTCCAAAGACCCGTGGAAGTTTTGTCACTCTGAAAAAAAAAGTCTGTCATTTGAAATGAATATGCGCTAAAATTTTATGGGCTAAAATTTGATCAGCTCAAGACACATATGGCAACGTGAAGAAAGAAAAATTGAAGAGAGTTTACAATTAATGATTAAATTTTGTTGTTGTAATAGGTTTAATCAACATATTTCTAAATGAAAAATCCATATGTATTTGTTACCATGTCTGATGATTACTTTCTTAAAAGCAAAAGTAGCCATGTAATATACTAACTGTTCATTGCTGTTTTTTAATGTATAAATCATGCCAAACAAATCATGTCTGTGTGCCATCCAGGGTTTATTGTTAATATTTTCCTGAGTACTTGGATTGGGATAAAGGGCTTGTACTATGCACTTTTTATTAATGAATAAATAGAAAATGTTAGTAACACTCTTTTGTTTGGCTTTTGTGTTTCTTTATAAGATTTCTACCCCTTACTAAAGATACTCATAACAGAGAATTTTAAGTTGTAAGAAAAATATACACCTAATAAGAAATGGGACCAGGTATTTTTTTTTTAATGCTTTATTGTGAATTATGTGATAGTTTACATGGGAGGACATTAGCTTCACATTGATCCCATCGTATATCCTTTCCTTGTCATGGTTACAATCCCCTCCATGCATCATCCACCAACCAGAGGGTGTACCCCGCAAGCCTGCCCCCCCGGTCATCCGCACACAGCCCCTCTTCTTCTCCATGCTCCATCTCCCCACGTCATCATCTCTGCCTCCATCCCTGGCATCACTGCTTCTCTGGGTAGGGTCCTGCTCTCCGCTCTTATCCCTGGATTGTCCCAGGGACCTCCGCTCTTAGACTGAAAAGTTAATCACTCCCCTCCCTTTGCCACAAAACATCTACCTTTACATTTCCAGCCCTTACAATCAGTCCTGGTAACAATCATTCGCTGTTGTATTGCAAGAGACCTATCTGTATCTCCTCTCATCAGCCCCGACTATGCAGAATGGATACTACTCAGTGGAGATTCTA